CCCTTGTCCCCAGGAGACCCTCCAAATCCAGCAGGAAGGTCTGGCACAGGTTCCTCTGAAATCACTGCCTCTGCCCTTGGACCTGGTGCACATGAGTTTTGATGTTTGCTTTTCAAGCTAATGGAGTCTGTTTCCCCCTGTCCTGTGGGGCTTTTGGAGCCAAGCACGCCTGGCCTTAAAAGTCAGATGTCCTTATATGTTTCTCTTCCTAATGCTGGAACTCAAGCTGGGGAGACTGACATGGGGCTTTGAGCTCTCACTCCTGTGGGAGGGCCTCTGTGACTTAACAAATCTTCACCTTGTGGGTCACCCACCTGGGAGGTATGGGGCTCAATTATATCATAAGCACACCCGTCATACAATCCTGCTGTGGTTCCCTCTTTAAGTTTTCAGTTGCAGAAAATATTTTTTGCTAGCCCTTTTTCTATGCTTGTTTAGCATTCAGTCCTGGTTTCATTGTAGTCACGAGTAGAGGTGAGCTTATGGTCCTACTGCTCCACCATCTTGACCAGAACCTTCCCATTTGGGTCCATTTTCAAATGTGAGAAGTTATACTATGAAAAAGGCACCTGCATCTAGAAAGCTATGAAGTTATTTATCAATAAATTAGCTACCATATTATAATATGTACCAGTTAACAATTGCTTACTTCTCAATTTTCTCTTTAAAAGTAAGGTGGTTAATGGTAAAATTTTTTAGTCAAAATTTATAAATGATACTACCAGGACTAATAAGGTAAAAAAAATTCTGTATGCAGGAAAAGTAACACATGATTTTTTTTAAATTGAAGTGTAGTTGATTTACAACATTGTGTTAGTTTCAAGTGTACAGTAAAGTGATTCAGATATGGATTTTTTGCTATATAAGATATATGGGAAGTGAATCTTGAAAAGGCTTCTTTTGTGATCAATGCTAAGATTGGAAGAATTATTTACAATGTTTTTAAAGCTCTGTCTTAGAATTAATAGCACCAACAAACAAAACTCGAATTTGGTTTTCTTTCTCTGCTAAAACAACAAAGATTACTTAGCTTCATAGTGTGCTCTTGATAAGAAATTTTAAGAAAAGTTTATTCCTTAGGTTTTAAGTGTTTGCCTGGGAATCTAATGTTTATATCTTAATGTTTTCCTGTAATTCAGATTGTCTTTATCAGATCCTTGATTACTTAAAGAAAACTGAGTTCTTGATATTAACAGAGCCAGATATTTTGCAACTATATAACTTTACATATTTTCCTTTGAAATATTTTGTCAGTTGGGTTAGATGAAATTACTGTTTCACAGTGACTGGTTATCCTATTTAGTGAAGTGTTCAACTTTTTGACATTTTGGCAGCTTCTCAAAAATAAACTCTAAATACAGTCTTTTTGACCTCAAACTAATTTTGAGATTTTCTAGAAGGCCGCTGGAAAATCAAAGTATTTTTATCTTATAAAAGATAGATGCTAAACTAATTTGGTTTATTTTGTATGTAAAATTACCTGGGATCCATTGTCAAATCAGAAGTGATAGGTTTGTCAACAACTTGATTTTCAGATTACCATATTAAAATGTTTCATGCCTCAGAAATAACTAATATTCCTCATCAAATAAACTATATCAGAATTTTAACCATGGACATTTTATTTGAAACTGTGCTCTTTTTTTTAAAAAATTTTGTTTTCTGGGCTGAAGGAAATGTCCCTTAACCTATCTGTAACATACACCAATTTGGTAAGGTATCCTTTTGGGAACAAAGATGTGACACCCTACTTGATTTTTTCACCCTACTTGATCCCTCCATAATTTGAAGGCTTATATGTATGACACTATGGTAATTTGCATAAGCAATAAAATATCTTCTAATTATAATAGGACACAATTGGAAACATTGGTTACATTACAATGGCTTTGACTAGAATTTTATATTTGAGAGTGTTGCGCATCCAATCAGATATGGCCTGAGAGCTTTAAGGAAGTTAGATGGACTTTAAGGAGCCAATACTTAAAAGTCTGTCTTTCAACTTTTCTATTTGGCATGGGCAGAGGACAAATGCATAGAAGGATGGGAGTAGATTGTTGGGAGATTAACATACTGATGCAACTGCTGTACTAAATGTGGTTTTATTGATATAGGGAGTTCACATATACTCTGATACTCAGCAGTGAACTGTTGACCTGGCAAATGCCTCCCTCACCTTAATGCCTACATGATGCATTTTCCTTACAGATGAGAAACCAGTAATGCACCTTCACTATCCTACCTCAGGGATGTATCAACTGTCCACCCTTTGTCACAGTTTAGTTTGCAGGGATATTGATCACCTCTTTCACCCATACAATGTCACAATTTTCCATTATGTTGATGCATTACATTATGATGTTATGCTGCTTGGCTCTAGAGAAGAGGACCAGCAACTACCCTAGACTTAGTGGTAAGGCATTTGCATGTCAGAGGGTGGAAACTGAATTCAAATGAAAGTCAAGGAGCTTCGGCTTCAGTGCCATCTCTAGGGAGCCAAAGCTGTGGGGCATGTCAGATACACTTTTTAAGGTAAAGTGTAGATTCTGGTATCTGCATCCCTTCTTAAACCTAAAAGGCACAACACCCAGTGGGCATGTTGATTTTGGAGGCAACATATTCCTCATTTGTGTTTGTTAGCCTGCCCCATGTATCAAGTGACAAGAAGCTACTAGTCATTAGGAAAGGTGGTGGGGGGAGAAGAGAAGGCTCTGTAATGGGCCCAGTATGCTGTGCAAGGCATTCTACCACTTGGACCACATAACCCAGCAGATGCAATGGTTCTTGAAGTTACATTGGTTGACAGGGATACTATTTGAAGCCTTTGGCAGCCCATAGGTAAATCACAGCACTTGTATTTAGAATTTTAGAGCAAGGTTCAGCTGTCAACCTCCAAATGATACACTCCTTTTGGGAAACAAATCATGCTCTGTGACTGAACCTCATCAAGACTGAATATTAAACAATAAGCTACCAGGACATTATTTTATTGGAGTTGCCTGAGTTTTATCTGACCCAACAAGTCTTAAAGTTGGGCAGGCACAGCAGCACTCCTATGTCAAGTGGGAGTGGTACATATATGATTCAGCCCAGACAGGCCAGCAAGTTACATGTAAGTAACAAGAAGAAATGCCCTCTCCCATCCATACCTGCATCCCATAATGTGGAGTTCTCTTCAGCCCCTTGTCACAGGAAGAAAAGCTTCAAGCCTGGTTACTGATGGCTTTGCACCATATGGAGGTGTAATCTGAAAGTGGAGAGCTGTAGTGCTACAGTACCTACCTGGGGCTTCACTGAAGGACAGCCAGGATGGACATTGAACATCCCACCATTGAGAACTTCAGGAAGTCAGTGCACCTGATTGTGCATATTGTTTGAAAGATAAAAAGGCCTGAAGTGTGATTATATAATGATTTGGGGCTATAGGCAATGGTTTGGCTTGATGGTCAGGGACTTTAAAGAAACATAATTGAAAAACTGGTAAAAATGAAATTTGGGTAAGAGTTATGTGGGTAGACATCTCTCAATGGGGGAAAAATGATGCATGTTTCCCATGTCAATACTTACCTAGGTTTGACCCCAGAAGTGGGAGATCTCAACAATAAAGCAGAGAGGATGACACATTCTGTGAGTATCAGTCAGCCTCTTTGCCTGCCATGCCAGTAGTTGTCCAGAGGGCTCATTAACAAAGTGGCTGTGGTGGCAGTGATGGAGGTCAAGCATGTGCTCATCAACATGAGCTTCCATTCCCCATGGCTGAGTGCCTGATCTGCCAAAAGTGGGCAGCAGCACTGGGTCGCTCATGTAGCACATTCCAGGAAGTCTTCAGACAGACCCCTGCTGGAATGTTGATTAGATTAGAATGCTTTAATCATGGAAGGGGAGTCATTTTACTCTTGTTGAAACAGACACTTACTGTGGGTCTCGATTTGCCTTGACTGCAAGCATGCTGTTGCCAAAACTACAGTGTGGACTTAAAGATGCTTTATCTGTTCTCCACAGTCTTCAATGAAGGATTGCTTCAGTTCAAGGAACTCGCTTCACAGCAAAAGAAGTTAGGCTAGGGGTGCATGCCCACTGAATCCACTATCTCACCCTGTTCACCACCATCCTGAAGCAGCTGGTTGGATACAACAGGGAAAGAGCCTTTAGAAGACTCAGTTTCAGTTACACTCAGGAAGGTGGCAGTATATTGCAGGGCTGTGGAAAATTTCTTCAGGAGATTGTCTATGTCCTAAATCAGCTTCCAGTAATGGTGCTGTTAATAGGTCCAGGAATGAAGGGGTGGAAATGGTAGGGACTTCAGATTCTATATTACCCTTAGAAACTATTTCTTTCCTTCTCTCAAAACATTAAGCTCCACCGAAATACACTTTGTAGTTCCAGGTGAAGGAGTGTTTCTTCCAGGAGACAGAACAATGATTCTTCTGAGTGGAGGTTAAGACTGACACCTGGCCATTTTGGACTCCACACTCCTCCGTGTCAACAGGCAAAGAGGTGAGTTACTGCACTGTATGGGGTGATTCTGATTACTGTCACGGGACAGCCATACCTGGAGAGTATTTAATGTGGTAAAAACATGTTTAATCAGAACTATAGTAATAAAGAAAAAGAGACTGCAAAACAGAATGGGGCTCAATGAAGAACAGAAAATTAGGAAGAGGGAATTTATATTAAAGGAGCTAGTCGAGGTCACTGGATGGTGTATTACTAATAGAAAACAACAAGGACCAGGGAATTTCTTTCTTTTTTTCAAGTTATTTTTTACTTGTAACATTTTTATTGATTTATAATCATTTTAAAATTTTATGTCAAATTCCAGTGTAAAGCACAATTTTTCAGTTACACATGAACATATATATATACATTGTCACATTTTTTTCTCTGTGAGCTACCATAAAACCTTGTATATATTTTCCTGTGCTATACAGTATAATCTTGTTTATCTATTCTACACTTTGAAATCCCAGTCTAACCCTTCTCTCCCCAGGCCCCCTCAGAAACCACAAGTTTGTATTCTATGTTTATGAGTCTGTTTCTGTTTTGTATTTAAGTTTTCTTTGTTTGTTTGTTTCTTTTTTTTTATATGACACATATGAGTGATCTCGTATGGTATTTTTCTTTCTGTTTCTGGCTAACATGACTCAGAATGACATTATCCAGGACATGCATATTGCTGCAAATGGCATTATGTTGTCGGTTTTTAAGGCTGAATAGTATTCCACTATATAAATATACGACACCTTCTATATCTAATCATTGGTCGATGGACATTTAGGCTGTTTCCATGTCTTGTCTATTCTAAATAGTGCTATTAAGAATATTGGGGTGCAGGTGTCATTTTGGAGTAGGATTCCTTCTGGATATATGCCCAGGAGTGGGATTCCTGTGTCATATAGTAAGTCTATTCCTAGTATTTTGAGGAATCTCCATACTATTTTCCACAGTGGCTGCACCAAACTGCATTCCCACCAGCAGTGTAGGAGTGTTCCCTTTTCTCCACAGCCTCTCCAGCATTTGTCATTTGTGGATTTTTGAATGATGACCGTTCTGACTGATGTGAGGTGATATCTCACTGTAGTTTTGATTTGCATTTCTCTGATAATTAGTGATATTGAGCATTTTTTCATGTGCCTATTGATCATTTGTATGCCTTCCTTGGAGAATTGCTTGTTTAGGTCTACTGACCATTTTTGGATAGAGTTGTTTGTTTTTTTCTTATTAAGTCATATGAGCTGCTTTTATATTCTGGAGATCAAGCCTTTGTCAGTTTCATTTGCAAAAGTTTTCTCCCATTCCATAGGTTGTCTTTTTGTTTTACTTATGGTTTCCTTTGCTATGCAGAGGCTTGTAAGTTTCATTATGTCCCATTTGTTTATTCATGATTTTATTCCTATTGCTTGGGTAGACTGTCTTAGGAGAATATTTTTGCAATATATGTCAGATAATGTTTTGCCTCTATTTTCTTCTAGGAGTTTTAATGTATCTTGTCTTATGTTTAAGTCTTTGATCCATTTTGAGTTGATTTTTGTGTATGGTGTAAGGGAGTGTTCTAGTTTTATTGATTTACATGCTGCTGTCCAGTTTTCCCAACACCATTTGCTGAAGAGACTGTCTTTATTCCATTGTATATTCTTGCCTCCTTTGTCGAAGATGAGTTGACCAAAATTTTGTGGGTTCATTTCTGGGCTCTCTATTCTGTTCCATTGGTCTATAGGTTTGTTTTTGTACCATTACTATGCTGTTTTAATGACTGTAGCTCCATAGTATTGTCTGAAGTCTAGGAGAGTTATTCTTCCAGCCTCTTTCTTTCTCTTCAGTAATGCTTTGATGATTCTAGGTCTTTGATGGTTCCATATAAATTTTGTTATGACTTGTTCTAGTTCTGTGAAATAAGTCCTGGGTAATTTGATAGGGATTGCATTAAATCTGTAGATTGCCTTGGGCAGTGTGACCATTTTAGCAGTATTGATTCTTCCAATCCAAGAGCATGGAATATCTTTCCTTTTTTTAAACTCTTCTTTAATTTTCTTCATCAGTGGTTTATAGTTTTCTGTGTTTAATTCTTTCATCTCCTTGGTTAAATTTATTCCTGTGTATTTTATTACTTTGGGTGCTATTTTAAAGGAGATTGTTTATTTTCCTTTTCTGTAGATTAATCATTAGTGTAAAGAAATGCAATTGATTTTTGAACATTAATCTTGTAACCTGCTACCTTGCTGAACTGTTCAATCAGCTCTTGTAGTTTTTGTGTGGACCTTTTAGGGTTTTCTATATATAGTAACATGTCGCTGGCATATAGTGACACTTTTGCCTCTTCTTTTCCAATTTGGATCTCTTTTATTTCTCTATGTTGCCTGATTGCTGTGGCTAGGACTTCCAAGATGATGTTTAATAGAGTGGTGATAGTGGGAAACCTTGTCTTGTCCCAGATTTTAGTGAGAATGTTTTGAGTTTTTGACCATTGAGTACTATGCTGGCTGTAGGTTTGTCATGTATAGCTTTTATTGTGTTGAGATACGTTCCCTCTATGCTCACTTTGGTAAGAGTTTTTATCATAAATGGGTGTTGAATTTTACGAAATGTATTTTTCTGCAACTATTGAGAAGATCATGTGGTTTTTGTCCTTTCTCTTGTTGATGTGATGTATTATATTGATTGATTTGCACATGTTGAATCACCCTTGTGTCACTGGGATGAACCCCACTTGGTCATGTTGTATAATCTTTTTCATGTGTTGTTGGATTCTATTTGCTAATATTTGGTAAGGATTTTTGCATCTATGTTCATCAGAGTTATCGGCCTATAATTCTCTTTTTTGGTAGTGTCTATGCCTGGTTTTGGTATCAGGGTGATGGTGGCTTCATAGAATAAGTTTCAGAGTATTCCTTCATTTTAAGTCTTCTGGAGGAGTTTGAGAAGGACTGGTATGAGTTCTTCTTTGTATATTTGGTAAAATTCCCCAGTGAAGCTGTCCAGTCCTGGACTTTTATTTGTTGGTGGGGTTTTTTTTTTATTGCTAATACGATTTCATTTCTAGTGATCAATTTGTTCAAGTGGTCATTTTCTTCTTGGTTCTATCTTGGTGGACTGTATGTTTCTTGAAATTTGTCCATCTCCTGTAGTTTATCCATTTGGTTCTATATAGTTTTTCATAATATTCTCATATGATATTCTGTGTTTATATATTATTTTTGTAGTTTCTCCATTTTCCTTTCTTATTTTGCTAATTTGTGCTCTCTCTTTTTTCTTCTTTGTGAGTTTGGCCATAAGTTGTCGATTTTATTTACTTTTTCAAAAAACCAGCTTTTGGTTTTATTGATTTTTTTCTATGGTTTTTTAATCTCCATTTTGTTTATTCCTCCCTGATGCTTATTATTTCCATTCTTCTGCTGCCTTTTGGGATTTATTGCTCTCCTTTTTCTAATTCTTCTAGTTGATGGGTTAAATTGTTTATTTGAGATTGTTCTTTTTTGAAGAAGGCTTGGATTACTATAAACTTCCATCTTAGCACTGCATTTGCTGTGTCCCTTTAATTTTGTGTGGTTGTGTTTTCATTTTCATTTGTCTCAAGGTACATTTTAATTTAACATTTGATTTCATCGTTGATACACTGGCTTTTTAATAACATGTTGTTCAATCTCCATGCTTTCCTTTTTTCCTCCTTTATGTCTCTGTAGTTGATTTTTAGTTTCATGGCATTGTGCTCAGTAAAGATGCTTCAGGTAATTTCTATCATCTTAAAATTGTTAAGGCTTCTTTTGTGCCCAAATACATGATCAATCCTACAGAATGTTCCATGTGTACTTGAAAAGAATGTATATCCTATTTTTGTGGGTTGTAATGCTCTGAAAATATCTATGAAATCTACTTTTTCTATTGTATCATTTAATTTCTCTGTTGCCTTATTTATTTTCTGTCTGGACGATCTGTCTAGTGATGTTAATGCAATGTTAAAATCTCTGAGTATGTTTGTATTCTCATCAATATACCCCTTTATCTCTGTTAGAAATTGTTTTATGTACTTAGGTGCTCCTATATTGGGTGCATATCGATTAACGAGTTTAATACCCTCATCTTGTATTTCTCCTTTAGTTATTGTAAAATGTCCTTCTTTATCTTTCTTTATGGTCTTTTTTAAAAGTCTATTTTGTCTGAAATCAGTACTGCTACATATGCTTTTTTGGCTTTTCATTTGCATGGAATATCATTTTCCTTCCTTTCACTCTCAATGTATATGTGTTCTTCTCCCGAAAGTGGGTCTCTTGTACGCAGCATATTGAAGGTTTTTGTTTTATTATCCAGTCTGCCACTCTATGTCTTTTGACTAGAGCACTTAATCCATTAACATTTACAGTAATTAATGATAGATGTGTGTTTATTGCCATTTTGAACTTATTTTTGCAGTTGATTTGGTTTTTCCTCTTTGTTCCTTTCTTCTTCCTTTTGTGGTTTGGTAATTTTCCTTTCTATTATCATGGATTTTATTTAGTTTTTATGACTCCCTTGAGAATTTTTGGCTTGTGTTTATCTTTTTTTTTAAGTGTATTAGCCCATTACTCTATCTTGAACTCATCCTACTGATAACAAAAAATTTAAAATAGAAAGAAAAAAAGCCTTATATTTTCTTGCTTCCCTCTCCCACTCTTAATGATTTATATGTCTTCTTTTACAGTTTCATGTTTATTTTATTTGTAATTCATGGTAGTTATCACCTTTCCAGTTATGAGTTTCTCATTTCTGTAGCATAGTGCTGTTTTTCTATTTAAAGTAGTCCTTTCAGTATTTCTTGTAGCATGGATTTAGTGTTGCTAAACTCTTTTTTTTTTTTGCTTGTCTGTGAAAGTCTTTATCTCTCCTTCTTTCCTAAAGGATAGCCTTGCTGGATAAATTATCCTAGGCTGCATCTTTTTTTCATTCAGGACATTGAATATATCTTGCCACTCCCTTCTGGCTTTAGTGTTTGTATAGAGAAATTTGCAGAGCCTTATGGGGGCTCCCTTGTAATTCACTGTTTGTTTTTCTGTTGCTGCCTTTAGGATCATTTCTTTTACCTCTACTCTGGCCATCTTGATTATGAAATGTCTTGGTGTGGGTCTGTTTGGGTTCTTCCTGTTTGAGACCCTCTGTACTTCCTGTACTTGGATATCTGATTCCTTCTTTAAGTTTGGGAAGTTTTCAGTCATGATTTCTTCAAATACCGTTTCATTCCCCTTTGATCTTTCTTCCCCTCCTGGGACCCCTATTATGCAAAGATTTGTATGCTTTATATTATCCAATAGATCCCTTATGTTGTTTTCATGTGTTTATCTCACAGTTGTTCTGTGTGCTTTCTGTTGTCCTGTCTTCTAGATCACTTTTTCGTTCCTCTGCATTATCTATTCTGCTTTGCACAGCCTTTAGATCAGTTCTCATTTCAACCAATGATTTTACCAAGTCTACTTGGCTCCACCTTATAAGTTCTGTTTCATTTTTT